TCTAATGTCCACATATGAGGGAGAACATACGATTTTTGGTCTTTTGGGCCAGGCTAACCTCACTCAGAATGATGTTCTCCAATTCCATCCATTGACACAGGTTCTTAATATGTTGCCCAGGTTGGCCTAGAGCTCCCTGAGCTCAAGTGATCCTCTTGCTTCAGCCTCCCAAGTAGTGGGAACAACAGATGTGCACTATCATATCCAGCCTTCATTTTTAATTTTTGAGCACAAGAGATTAAATCTTTTTAAAACATTTTCATTTGAAAGGAATTTTTGTGTTCCATAGTAGGTGTGTTATTTGTTTTCTTTGTAACATATCCACTCCATCGTTGACATTCTACAGAGGGAAATTCTGAAACAAAAAGCCTTTCTTCTTGTTAGTCCCTTCATTTCCTTTACTTATTAATAAATCTGGGTGTAAAATAATTGATAGATATCATTTTAAAGCTGGAGCCCCTAATTTTGATAGATATATAAAATTTGATTGAAGAAGCAATGTAAAATAACCTCACATATTGATTGGGTGATCTTATGGAAGAGGTGTTAAGTTTATTTTATATATATTATATTTGATTTGTCCTTATAGCTCATAAAATGGTATAAACCCATGCTGCAGTCTCATTCTTGCTGGAACTGAGAAGTGAATTTTGCATCTGTTCAGAATAATGAATAAGAAACAGCTAGAGACTAAAAACCCATATGTTCAGCAATTTGGAAACATAATAAAACATAATGTGGCAGTAGCACTTTCTATTTTCAGTAGACTTTAAACTCTCTTGCAAACCTGTGTTCTTTCGGTGTTTCGATGCTGTTGGAACTACAGCATGATTAACCCCAGGATGTCTTTACAGGTTTGATCCAGATCGCTTTGTTGATGACTCTGTGATGAAAACTTTTTCCTCACTTGGATTCTCAGGCACCCAGGCATGCCCGGAGTTGAGGTGAATGATAAGGAAAATAATGTGAAAGAAAGAAAAAGACGGTAGACTTTGTACTTAGGATTTTGATGATTACTTTTGATGACAATTTGCAATCTATGCAATGAAAGTGTGATTTTCAGTCTGTAGTAGTAACTGGCCGACTTTCTTCCTAACTAGGCTTGCTTATGTGGTGGCCACAGTGCTTCTGGGTGTGTTGGTGAAGAGATTGCACCTACTTCCTCTGGAGGGACAAGTTACTGAGACAAAGTATGAACTGGTCACATCGTCAAGGGAGGAAGCTTGGATCACTGTATCAAAAAGATGTTAAAATTTTATACTTTTAAAATCTGTGTCAAATTGGCTAAGATTCAAATTGGTTGAATCTTTGTAAAATAAGTATCATTTTATAATGTAAGCATCTGTTATTACTTCATTATGTAAATTTGAATTTTTATATATCCTATTTTCTTAATGCATGAAGTACATTTATACTTATTTTAAGAATCAATAATTTTAATAGGAAGCTTTAATTTTCTTTTCATATTTATGATTTTCTAAGCCACTATTTTCATCTTATTTTTCTTAGTTTGATTTCTAAAATGAATGAACATTCTTAAATAGAGAAATTATTTTGCACAAGTTGGGGAATCATGTTTTCTGAATATTCATAAAAGAACTGCATATGCTAACTCTTTTTTGTAAATCACCTTAAAAGGAAATAAATAGAACTTCATATAATTTTTTCCTTGGATTATTTTTTATTTTCTGGCTATTAATTAGCTTGTGTTTTAATCACTTTTATTAGATTTGAATAATTAATTGAGTATTCTGCCTTACATTTGCAATTATTCTGCCTCCCCACCCAGCAGAGTTCACTTAATGGCTTACACAGGCTCATCAATTGAACAGCTCTGAATCATCTGAAATAATACAGTTGCTTGTGAATGTGTCTTACAGCACCACTCCTATGTGGCAGACTAAGATCAAGGCGCTTTCTGTTTTGCTGGAAGTCTTTTAGCACTATGTTACTCCACTGGTTTTCGTAGGAAGAAACACAATTCCTAAATTTTGAATTTATTGTTATGTCATGTACTAAACATAATGAGCCCATCCCTAAGAAAGAAGAAAGAAGTAACCAAAAACCACATCCTAAGGGAGGGAGTGGGGATGGGGGAAGCAGATGAAAAATTTGCCATGTTTGATAGAGAGGGAAATAGCCAGCCATATTACCCATGCAGAGCTCATAAAAATTGGCAAGGGGCTTATGACATAGCTCAGTGGTCCAGTACTTGTATATCATGAGTGAAGCCCTAGGTTTGATCCTCAGCACCTCAAAAGCAAAAATAATGCAGGTTTGTAACATCTGTTGTAATATACAACAGATGAATAGACAAAAAATATGAAATAACAGTTTTTACATGAGGACATGGCTGATAAACCTTTAGGAAAGTGTTCATTCTCACTGATTAGCAAAGAAATATGAGGGCTAATTTGGGAATATTTTAGGAATCTTTCAAAATATATTTGAGCACTGATAAGTTTTATATGTAATACTTTATTGATAGTATCATATTTAAGCTAGTTTTTTGGCTCTACTATTTATGAAGAACTCCTTTTTATTTTTTCTTTAATATTTGTTTTTAAACAGTTACAGGAAAAATGCCAAGTATTGATAGAATAAAGGAAGAAAAATGATAACTGCAAGCATGTTATTTTTAACAATGCTGGATTCCATTTGTTTTTTGTTTGTTTTTCTGATTTTTATTAGCATATGTTCATTGTACAGGGGTATTGTGCCAATTCCCAATAGCCTCACATCATACATTGCTTAGATTGCCCCCTCCTCCTGAATTCCATTTATAATTTTAGTGTCAATAATATGGGACTGTGGGTGTAGCTAGTTCAGTGGGAGAGCACTGGTCTGGCATGCATGAGGCCCTGGGTTTGGTCCTTAACAACACAAGGATTGTGGGTTGAAACCAGGCTGGGATACATAGTGAGTGAGTTTGAAGCCAGCCTCAGCTACATAGTAATATCCTGTCTCAAAAAGAAAAAGTGAAGAAATAAAGTTTTAAAAAACCCCAAAAGCTACAATCTTAATCACTCACTTTAATGTCTGAGTTATTGTTATTTTATGTGTTTATAGTTAAATAATATTTTAGACCTAGTTATGACTAGTTAACATTTTAATTAAATTAATCTAGTTAACAATTTAATTAGATGCAGCCTTTATTTCTGAAAAAAATGTTTAATTTCTGGAATAATTTAAATTCCAAAATTCTAAGAGAAATCTATCCTTAGTTACTATTATGTTGTTTCTAAAAAGGCCTTTGTTAGGGCTGTCTCCTCCCACCTGCCTCTGTGTTCATAGAACATCTTCCCTTGTTTAGGGAGTGGACTGGAATGCATTGGAAACCGGCAGTGGAAGGGTAGAGTAGGCAATAGCTATGAAAAACCATGTGTCTTTGAGACCAGAGATGAGAGGTGGAATTTATAGCAAATGAGATCTGATAAGCAATGATGAAGGCAAAACAGGGCCACAGAGCCAGGGTCAGAGGTGATGACTGGGGCTGAGGAAAGAGAGCATGGAGGAATCAGCTAAATGAGCACACTTTGTCCATGGTCACATGACTGGCTCAGCATTACAAAAACATCATTTTATAGAGAACTGGGTGGTGTAACTCAGAGATAGAGCTCATGTTCAGCTTGTGTAGCATGCTGGGTTTGATCGCCAGCACTGCAGAAAGAATCTGTGGACAACATGTACGAAATAAGTTATCTATTCACTGTTGTTCTCGGCTTTTTGTGTTTATCTAGTGACTCAAATTCTGGGAGTCTCAGTGCCACTGTTGCCTTGTAGCATGATTCTAGTGGGGCTCTATTTAACCATGAAGTGGTTCTTTAGTAGATGCTACAGTGAGTGATTTAAGTTTTGTAGCCTTAGAGTATCTTTAAGACTTTATTTCTTTGCTGATTTTCATCTACATTTTTTTGTTGTTGGTGTCTTGTTTTGTTTGAGACACGGTGTCACTAGTCCAAGATGGTCTTGAACTCTCCATTCTCCTTCCTGCTTCTGACTTGTGAGTGCTGTTATCAGAGGCATGCACCACTGCACCCAACTTGATCTATATTCTTTTTGGTAGTTCAGAAGTTTATTGTTGAAAACATAGCTTATAAAGTGTTTTTTATGGACTAAAAGGGCTCTTCTAGCCAGGGGCCAGTGGCTGGTGGCTCATGGCTGTAATCCTAGCTACTCGGGAAGCTGAGATCAGGAAGATCATGGTTCAAGGCCAGCTCAGGCATTTAGTTCATGAGACCCACCTATCTCCAAATAACCAGAGAGAAATGGGTTGGAAGACTCTTCTATACTTTGTGTTAATAAAATATAAGGCAAAATTAATTCTCTGTGTATGTTTGGGAAAAGTAGAAAACTTCCATGCCTGTTTATTTGGCCCAGGAAGGCACAGTTCCATTATTCAGATTCTACCTTATTCATAGCCTCATGTCAAAATGTATTTGTTTACTTTGTCTTAAAATAGTTCTTGTTTTAATGACATTTTCTGGTTTTTTTTCTTATAAAAATAATGTATTCAGGGCTGGTGGAGTGGTCAAGTGGTAGAGTGCCTGCCTAGCAAGCATGAGTCCCTGAGTTCAAACCCCAGTACCACCAAAATAATAATAGTAATAAATAATAATAATAATAATAATAATGTATTTGAAATCCCTAGGGAAACACAAATATGGCAAACTCAGTCACCAATAGTCTCACTACTTGAAGTTAGCCACTGTTAAGATTCTGATGTAAATCCTCTACTATTTTTAATGCATACCTAATTTTTAATTTTCTATTCATTAATATGTTAACAGTTGGTAACCAGAACATTGAGTGTACTTGCCCCTCTGGATGTTATTAGCAGATTTTTGTTGTTCTTACTTTTTTTCTCCTTTCCCTTCACAGTCTTTTTTTTTTTTTTTTT